AAAACCTAATATATTTAATAGCCCTTTGTCAAACTGTACTTTATGCTGTGTAGTTACTGTTTCAATGAACCAATTTAAAATAACTACATTATGCGTTAAAAATTACATTTGGGAGGACAAATTTAACAGAGAGGAAGCAAATGTCATCACTTAGTGATTATTACAGCCTCCCTCTCATACCTGCCCACCTCCCAGCCTCCCTTGGTGGCATTTGGGCCAACTGCCACCCCTCCATCCTACCTCTCTGGCCTCTGGTGGCAGTGCTCTGTGATACTTAACTGCTCACCTGGCCCCTAATAAGCCACATGTTCCCAAGGCCTTGTCTTTGCTCATGCCACCTGGAAATCCGTTCTCGTAATTCTCTTCCTGCCAAAATCATCTTTTCTCCTTAGTATCTTGATATCTTAGTAGCACAGGGTTGGACCCTATCAGTGCCTCACAATCTTAAATAAGTAGCACTCAGAAGACACACCGAGGCCTATTGTCCCAGATCAGCTCTCAGAAACCTAAATGCTCAGATGGCACAGAACTAAATGTGTGATACTCTGATTGGGCTTAGTTTCTGGTCATCAGTCTTCACATTGGTATGAGCCTCACTCTCAACCCCTGCTCCAACTTTGCTTCACATTCCTCCTTTCTGACAAGGAATGACATTTTCCAGGATGGAGCTTGAGGAAAGCAGGGGGGTGCAGCAGAGGGCGGCGGCCACACTCAGGGGCAGCAGCAGTAGTGGTGCCAACCTGGGCGTGTTCAGCATCCATGACTTGGCCCCCACTTCTCACCAGAACTTGGCAAGAGGTAGCCTTGCTGGAGGTCCTGCATGGACAGAGGGTGGTCTGGGAAGTTCTGGGAAGAGAGGGGAGGCCTGAGAGAGCCTCAGAAACAAATCTCTCTCTGTTCCCACCTGGAATGGAAGAACTTCTCAGCTTTCCTGAGAGTTGAGAGCCAGTGCATAGGAATAGCATTAGTGTAAGAGCAATGTCCCAAGCTGGAGACTAGATGGAGAGTAGAAGGGCATAAATGGAGACCCCCAAAAAGATACATCCACATCCTGACTCCCAGACCTGTGAGTTTGGCCTTATTTGGAAAAAGGGCCTTTGCAGATGTAATTAAATTAAGGTTCTTGACATGAGACATCCTAGATTATCCAGGTGAGTCCTAAATCCAATGACAAGTGTCCCTACGAGAAACAAAATAAGGACAAGACACAGGAAGAAAGAGAAGACCACATGAAGACAGAGGTGGAGGCTGGAGCGATGCCATCACAAGCTAACTAGCACCTGGCACCACTGGAAGATGGAAGGCAAGGTTCACCCTCCCCTGGAGTCTCTAGAGGGAGCGTGTTCCTGCTGACAACCTGATTTTGGACAATGGCCTCCAGAACAATCATAGAATATACTTATGTTGTTTCCAGCCACTAAGCTTGTACAACTCATTACAGCAGCCCTAGGAAACTAACACAAGGGGTGTCACTGAGATTCAGATCTTAGTAGGAGCTGCAGGAGCTGAGGTGGTGACCAATTCAGCAGAGGCCCCCAAAACAAGTACTATCACTGTCCCTGAAGGTGGACAGAGGACAGGCCACATGGCCACAGTGGACCAGACCTGATGAGAAGCACATCATTGACCTTCGACAAACAAAAGGAATATTTATTCAAATGTAACTGAGTTTTGAAAGACTAAATTGAATTGATATAGCAAGATGCAGCTTTCAGCCATCAGCACAAATGGAGGGTTTATGGACTAAATTCAATTCATGTGTAGAAATATCAAGAAAATTATTTTAGGTTTTGCATATGTAAGTTTATGACTGTATATTTTCATACAGGCTGCACCAAACCACAGGGTTGTTGGGAGAAGATTGAACAGAAAAAGCGATAGCTGCAATTCATTGAGCTTTTGTTGTTTTATCCATAATATTTCACAGACAAGGGCCCTGAAACTCAGTGTCTGGTCGCTAACTGAGGTCTCCCACCACAGTGCTCTTTCTCCCAGGCTGCCCACCTACAGCAACCCAGTTGAACTGTGAACCTCATAGCAGTGAGCTCAATATCATATTTATATTCCTGACCAGGCAGTGTCTGACACATCGATGGAGCCCAATCAACTGCTTGTCGAATTTAATCGAATAACATAACCTCACTGTCCTTAAGTAGCCTGCCATCTGTCTGGTGTTAGGAAAATCATTAAAAATAAAATATCCTGCCAACCCAGAAAACATCTCCATCAAGGTAGACGAGAAAGAAAACAGTTTTATTATTGAATAATCACTAAGCCAGACGGCAGTGGGCATCACAGGCAACCCACTAAAGAGACCACAAAGACAAAGCAATTTCACCTTGTATATATATTACATCTGTGTTCTCAAGATGAAAATAGCTAGGCCTCACATAAGAAGACTTGACAGGATCATTTATTAAATAGAGTTCCCCCTAAATTCACCTGGTAATTGGGGTGGCCATCTGTGGTAGCTAATTACCTTTATCTAGAAGAAAAAGAAAACTTCTCATCTCTTCAAGACAAGTATGTACTTTTGGAATGTGGAGCCAGGTTGCTAAGTGACACTCCCATGGCTCCCCGCCCCCCCCCCCCCCGCCCTGCCCCAGAAGAAGGGAGAAGGGAATGATAGATAGGGTGCTGTTTGGCTAGTGTTTATATATCAAAGAGGTCACCCCCCTCCCAAGAAAACCATTCTTGGGTTGTAAAATAAGTGCTGTGTATACATCAAAGGGGGAGGCGAAGAATCTACAAAGTCATGTTTTCTAAAGGAAATGCTCTAAGAAAAGGAAGGAGAACAGTCACTTTTATCATGGAGGAAATTTTTTTTTCTTTCTAGATTCGTGTTTGTCCTTTAGTGGGGAGATAGGAAAACTGGTTAGGGGCGCCTGGGTGGCACAGTCGGTTAAGCGTCCGACTTCAGCCAGGTCACGATCTCGCGGTCCGTGAGTTCGAGCCCCGCGTCGGGCTCTGGGCTGATGGCTCAGAGCCTGGAGCCTGTTTCCGATTCTGTGTCTCCCTCTCTCTCTGCCCCTCCCCCGTTCATGCTCTGTCTCTCTCTGTCCCAAAAATAAATAAACGTTGGAAAACTGGTTAAATTAGACACAGCAGCGCCTGCGTAAGTGCCCGATGAGAAATAGAAATGGTGAAGGATGGCACTTCCTCGAGGCAGGAGACCCTCTGGTGGGCATCTCTGAATTTGGAGTGAGATTGTAGGGGAAGGTAGATTCCTCCTCTGATATTGCTGTTGATGAGAATATCAAGGTCAGGCAAGGGGACTACACTTCAAGGGAACTATGAATGGTCCTGTTGAGAATAATGTCTGGTTAGAGAAAGACTAATATATCTGTGCCCAGATGCCCATGGTGTGGCAGACATGGTGACATCAGTAAAAATCTGTCATCTAGATGATTCTGTATCTTCTTTAAGTTCTGGTAGGATCCCAAAGGACATGGCTTTTAAACAGAAATATATTGGCACTTCTCCCAAGCCAAGCATACACTGTCAAAATTTAATAATATTTGGAAGCTTTTTTTCTCCTTGTTATATACCCATGGAACTTGGAAAAGAGCTAGCTATTAAATTTTGCATAATAAATCTCTCTGGTACTTAAAAGTCATGACTGAATTGCCTTAACTTTTTTACCTTCTTGCTTAACCCTCCAATATTAACAGATGGGAATAATTTCTTAAGAGGGAAATTGAAAGGAGGAACATAAATTAGGGATGAAAAAGATTATCAAATGAATGTGGAACTTTAGAGAATTCAACTTGAAAAGGGACTAAATATTAAATGTTTTTAAAAATTCTACTTTTTTGTTGCTTTCTTTTACTTTAATTTACCCATTGCAAAAAAGAAGCATACGCTTTTTTTTTTAAGTTTGTGAAATGTGGTGAAATACAAAGAAAAGGGGAAAGACTGTTTTTCACAAAAGCAGGCATCATTAACATCTCTAAAGTGCCTCCTTCTAGCATTTTCTCTATTGTTCTTCTTTGTTTCTTGTTGCACTTCTACCATGTATACTGTTATTTAATGTTGTAATGTGAGCATTTTTTCAATACTATTAAAATTCATGAGTTCATTAGTTATTTATTGCTGTATAATAAGTTATGAACAATTTAAGAGCTCACAGCAATAAACATTTATTTCTCACTTTTTCTATGGGTCAGGAATCTGGAACAGGCTGAACTGAGTGATTCTAGCTCAGAATGTCTCATGAGTTTGGAGTCAAGATGTTGATGGGGCTGCAGTTGAACAACAACTTGACAAGAGCTGGAGGACCAGTTTCCAAGATGGATCACTCACATGGTGGGAGGCTTCAGTTTATCACCACATGGGCCTCTCTTTAGGCTGCTTGTGTGTCCTCATAACATGGTACCTGGCTTCCACCAGAGTGAGTGATCCAACAAAGAGTAAACTGAAACCCACAATGTCTTTCATCACCTGGTCTTATTAATAAATCGCACACAATCATTTCCGTAACATATTCAATAGACCAACAATATTCAGCTTGGGAGGAGGCTCACAAGAGTGTGAACACCAGGGGGTCCTCTTAGAGACCAGCTACTACAATGGGAATTTTTAATGGTTGTGTGATTTTTGTAATAGAGACCTGTATAATTGTATTATCTGTCTGTCAAGCACCTTTGTATATAAAGCTTTTTATTAATACTCCAAATTATTTCCTTGGATATAGTCTCAGAAGTGGGACTGTTGAGTTATAAAAAAAATTTCTTAATTTCCATTTTAAATTGGTTTCATAAAACAAAATAATATTTTATATTATTTCAGTTAGCATATGCATTGCCTTTAACATATTCATGATAAATACCTGAAAATTCTTATGCAGTGCTTCACAACTACATGTTCATTTTTCATTTAATGCATTCTATATAGTGTATTTTTTAGGCAGAAATTCTATAGCATATATATATATATAGATGTATAGTATTTTGATACTTACAGCATGTGGGTTTTTTCATTGTTATTTAACCATTTTATAGATCCTCCTGAGTTTGTTTGTTGCTGTTATTTTGGACAACTTAGAACTTGATGAAGATCTTAAGAAGCTTAAACAAGTAAGTAATGTATGGGGAATTCTTTAACTCTGAATTTAAAAAAATAAGGGTAAAATATGTGCTTACAGATAATGTTATCAATAGAGCTAGCTTCAAATTAAGAAAAATAGTTTAATAAATTAAGGCAGTCTATGTTGGCAGAATTTTCTTGTGTTTGACTTTTATCCATTATCCACAAAAAAAAAAGTTTTCTTGGCTCTAGAATTATCCTAGGAATATTTTTAAATTACTCTTTTGAGTAAAAGTAAGATGCACATAGTATAGAAAATTGGACTGGTGACTGTTCCCCTTCTGTCATTACATAAAGGTTGTTTGAGAATGAAATGCTTCAGGGCCAGATTGCCATTTTGCATAATTGTGTGTAATACTCTTGAACATCATCATAAAAATATTAAGCATCAACTTGCCTGACCTCTAGACACTAAAAGAGAATTTAGTCTTGGTGCCCATAGTCATTATAAGAAATGGAATAGAATAAATGATCAACTGTGTGCCCAGTTATGTATGAAAACAGATTGGATGTTATGGCATTGATAATCATACTCCAAAAATGTAAATGGAAATGTGTGAAGGTTATATGGCTGGTGGCAGAAAGATGACAGGCATGATGGACCATTCTCATAGTTTCTGTTACATGGAAGATGCTTGGCATACATATATGGTTCGATCAAAGAGTAGAGACCCTTTGAAAAGTAGAGTTGGTGTGAGTGAAGGTCAGTGGATAAGATATTCTTTTTTATTGCAATATAGTTGGCATACAATGTTGTATTCGTTTCAGGTGTGCAACAAAGTGGTTCAACGATTCTATATATTATGCAATGCTCACCACAAGTGTAGTTACCATCTGTCACCATACAAAGTTATTACAATATTATTGAACATATTCCCTATGCTCTACTTTTATCTTCATGGCTTATTTATTTTATAACAGGAAGTTTGTACCTCTAAATCTCCTTTATTAACTTTGCCCTCCCCCCCCCCCCACACCCCAGCAACCACCAGTTTGTTCTCTGTATTTATGAATTTATTTCTGGGGTTTTTTTGTTTGTTCATTTGTTTTCTTTTTTAGCTTCTGCGTATAAGTGAAATCATATGGTATTTGTCTTTCCCTGTATGACTTATTTCACTTAGCATAATACCCTCTAGCTGCATCCATATTGTCACAAATGGCAAGATCTCATCCATTTTTGTACCTGAGTAATATTCCATTGTATATATATACCACCTCTTCTGTATCCATTCATCTATCGATGGACAGTTGGATTGTTCCCATATTTTAGCTATTGTAAATAGTGCTGCAGTAACCATAGGGGTGCGTACATCTTTTCAAATTAGTGTTTGTGTTTTCTTTGGAAAAATACCCAGTAGTGGAATTACTGGATCATATGGTAATTCTATTTTCAATTTCTTGAGGAACCTCCATACTGTTTTCCAGAGTGGCCGCACCAGTTTGCATTCCCAAAAACAGTACATAAGGGTTCATTTTTTCCAACTTTGTTGTTTCTTGTGTTTTTTTTTTTTTTTTTTTACGTTAACCATTCTGACAGGTGTGAGGTGATATCTCATTGTGCATGTCCTTGATGATGAGTGATGTGCAGCATCTTTTCATGAGCTGGCCACCTAGATGTCTTCTTTGGAAAAATGTCTACTCAGTTTCTCTGGCCATTTTTTAACCAGATTGTTGGGGGATGTTGAGTTGTATAAGTTCTTTATATATTTTATATTTAACCCCTTATTGGATGGATCAGTTGCAAATATCTTCTCCCATTCAGTAGGTTGCCTTTTCATTTTGTTGATGATTCCTTTTGCCATGCAGAAACTTTTTAGTTTGATTCAGTCCAATAGTTTATCTTTGCTCTTCTTTTCCTTGCGTGAGGAGGGAGGTAAGATATTCTTGGATCACGCTCCCCAGCACTGCAAGAATAATAATAGAGATGTTAATGAAAAACTAAGGCTAGAAAACAAGTCTTACCTGGAATTATAAGAAAGCCCTATACATTCAGAATTTTCAAATTGCATCTGACTTGTCTTTTTTTTTTATTTTTAATGTTTATTTTTGAGAGAGAGAGAGAGACAGAGCACAAGCAGGGGAGGGGCAGGGACAGAAGGAGACACAGAATCAGAAGCAGGCTCCAGGCTCCAAGCTGTCAGCACAGAGCCCAACACCGGGCTCAAACCCACAAACCGCGAGATCATGACCTGAGCCGAAGTCAGACACTTGTCGACTGAGCCACCCAGGTGCCCTGGGTTTTATTTTTTATTTAACGAAAGCAAAGACAGAACCTATTTAAAAGGTTTCCTTGTCATTTGCATATCCTAAAATCACTTTAGGCATTTCATCCTTTTACTTTTGTTTATCTCCAAAGTCTGTGCTTCTAACCAAGGGTAGTCAACAAAAGAAAAAAATATATATATTTGATAGGATGCCCACTGTGAGCATATCAAGGAAGGATTTAAGTGTTTTCCTGTGCTTCAGCTACACAAGCAAAATGGCCCTCTGGGCATAGTGGAAATGAATTCTTCCAGATCTTTTCAGTTTGCAGCAACAGTGACAGATTATTCAAATGAGAGTTGGGAACTTCTCTTCTGCCGCTGATGCAAATGCTTTATGCAGCTTCTAGTTATTGAAGAAACATGTAATTAGTGAGTTCAAAAGTGAAAACTGACCCATATCATTAGACATAACCAGTGAAAATCTGCTGTTGGATAGCCACCTCAGTCCTTGCTTTACAAATCTGGTATTTAGATGTGGATTTTCCTGTGTATGTTGCTTACTATACGTAGATTTTTAATGTCCTCTTTCTGAGGACATAAATATGTGTAGTCTATAGATAAAATGAAAACTATTCTATTTTCTTCAAATTGGTGCTACAGCCAGGTTCAATATGGTTTTAAATAACCATTGGCCAATTAAAATGCCATATAATTCCAGCCCACATTTTTTACTAGAAAGAAGTAAAATAAATCTATAGACAATTTCTTTTCAAGTTTGTGAATTCAATCCTACTAATATTTTTGCAGTAAAATTCAAACCTACTAATATTTTTGCATATTATATATAGGTGTTATATATATATATATATATATATATATATATATATATATATACACACACATACATTTTATCTGACCCCAAGTGAAAAACCAACAGTAAAAAAATCAGGATTTTAACTGACATCTGACTTTCTTCTTAGTTTATACAGTTTTACTAAACTAGACGGGGCTTTGCTTTAGGATCTATCATTAGTTATAAAATGGTTTTTGTTTAATCACTTGCTATATATTAGTAATGCTCTGTATTTCTGGAAATCTTATACATCAGAGCTAATTATTGGATTGAACCAGCCTACAATTTGAAGTATCTTCTTTGAATATTTAGAGATATTCGAGCATTGAAAATCCCAACCATAAACAAAACAGCAAACCCATTTTCATTAGTACTTTTCACATTGTTCTTTGGCCATGACTGGACTAACACTACATACCTATTAAATTTATCAATTAATTCGTACACTAATTGCTGTGGACCAAAGATTATCGCACTAAACTAAAATGTTTACTGTTTTCTTCCATTTTGTATAAGAATATTTGTGTTTCATTACTTTCTACAAATTACATCATTTTTATACCCCCCCCCTTATTTCCAGTCATCTTGGTCTTTGAGATGAGGCTCATTTACATAGTGTCAAGAATACACTCACGTACACCCACACACCCCCCCCAATGTACACACACTTGTATGTACTTTCACACACACGTGCATGTAATTATGTGAATACCTGAAATGGTAGCCTGTTTTTCAAAGCTTCTTACAGAACTCCATTACAAATGTTCCCTGAAATCCCGATTTCGTTTTCTGTGTGTAGCCTCAGCCTTCAAGGGTTTAAATTCCTGTACTCTATTTTTAGTATTCCCAGATAGAGAATAGAATGGGGAATCTGTAAAAAATGTTTGATTTTATTAATGTTTTAAGTTCCTGAAAGCATACATACTCCATAATCTGCCTTTGTTCAGTACAAACCTTTTTTCATCATTTATCCTTTCTGCCACTAATCTGTAGGTTCCTATAGCTATAGTAACATTTGTCGGACACTTTCAGTTCCAGGTGCTGTGTATGTTCATTTATTGAAGTTTCATGGCAACCATGTGATGTAGGTATTATTAATATATCCATCTTACAGATGGGGAAACTAAGGCACAGAGAAGTTAAGTAACTTGCCTAAGGTCACACAGCGAATACATGGCAGAGTTAGGATTTGAACCCAGGCAATTCAGACCTAAAGCCCAGGCTCCATGACTGAGTCACAGGAAAGCTGTATCAATGCCAAACATGAGTCATGCCTGTTGTGGAATGTTAATTACTCGTCTATAAATAATCATGTTTTAGATGGCAGAAACATCAATATATATTCATGAAATAACTTGGTGTGAGGGGCAGTTTTCTGAGGAACGGAAGTGAATCAAGCAACCCAGTCATTAAAACTATCCAAAATAGTTCTTTGTTTTCCCTGGGAAAGCAGACGATCTAATCAGAGCCACAGGAGTTAGGACTGTTGCAGCAGGTAAGAGCTCAGAGGCTTACCACTCAGTACACGCGACGGCAGACTCTGCCCAAGGCACCTCTTCTCTCAGTGACCTTCTGGAGTAGCGATCCTCTTTAGACACAGACACAGTGTGCTTGCAGCATATTACATTTCAGCAGTGCCTCTAGAGATTTTTAATGTGTTTTATTCTGATTGTGGTCAAAAAACAATTGTGTTAAAATGTAAATGCTGGTTCCTAGACATTTTTCAAGAGTAACAGAAACAAGTGTGAGTCACCTCTAACATACAGAGGCTAAATATGAAACACGAGACAAAGCTATTAGAAAGAGAAAGTCTGTTCTCATGCTTGGGAGAGGAAATATGACCTTGAAGGTGAACAGGGTAGGAGAAAGCTAAAAGGTACAGGGAAGAAACTAGAACAGAAGAGAAGAAGGAAGAAGTAAAGTAAGGTGCTAG